CCCTTTAATGGGACCAAGGTGTCCATGAAGTTACCGAATGCATCCCATCCCACACTCTGCGGCTGAGATGCATATTATTAGGTACATCTATTGCACCTGTGCTATAATTAACTTTCCCTTTCCATCCTGTGATGGGTTTCACCCCATCATGAGCACCTACAAGAGAGATACCCTCACTGTAATAGATAACACATGAAGGGTCTACTGGCTTACTGTATAGACAGCTGTCTATCGGAGAGAGTGAGGGATAGGATTTGTAATAAAGTTTCTCTGTGTGGATGGCATACATAGCTGACATTTAAATGAGTTTTCAGTCTTCAACAAGAAATATACTACACATTTCTTATAAGATACTTCAGTCTATCCTCTCAATGTTTCCTCAAGTGGAATCTCAGACACTTCAAAATCTTTCAGAATGAATGACCAGATATAACTGAAAATTGTAAGTGGAAACTACAGAAAATACATTGCCTCCATGGAGAAAGGAGTCCTACTGAATATATACTTCACCATACTATACACCATTACTAAGACTTTCAAAACCACCTTATAATTTAGAGGGAAAAATTCTACTCATATTAATGGGAGTTGTACATCTAAATCTCCAAGGCTGAGGTTTTTCAAAAGCTCCTTACTTGGACAGTGCTCACATTTACCCATAGGTAACACATCGTGATATCATAGACACCACAGTTCAATCTCTGCTGAAAAATGGAAATAGCTGTGGTATCTTACATACCACAGTTAATTCTAATTCTCACATACTGTACAATAACCTGGATGAACATAGTGTTAAACAATACGCATGTGGTAGTGTGTTTCCTGGAATAATACATCTCTGCTTTTATAGATACTGTATGCTTCCACAGATCCGGATACATAATCACATCTATCAGGCATCAATTCCATATCAATGTTTTCATAAAAAATATAGCAAACAGATATTTAATATCCAGCTTATATATAGGTTTGATGTGGGAATTTGCCTACAAAATGTTACCTGGAATTTATTTGGTGTTTCAATTTTTTTGTTTTCTATAGGGATCACTCTTCAGTAGTCTATTTTGTTAATTTTAATCTATCTTCCAATTAGTGTGTAATCTAAGCAGCCTTTGCATTTTCCCTTCTCTAGTCACCCCTCTAGTGTATAGTATGTATGTATATTTTTCCCCTTAAAAACTTGACTTCTATAATGTAAGTAGCCTCCATTTATCAGACTTTCACTTCTGCATTTTATCTCTGTCCATAGTTGACATTAGAACTAAATTTCTGTTAAAATCTGTTCATGCCCTTCCCTGCTAATTTTGCCAAGTTGAAATAAGACTGTCTAAAATGTTCCATATAGGATCTGATGCCAGAATAGATCTTTATTCTTAAAGTACAAGGAAACTTTTACCATGTATTTTAGAGATGCTAACCTTTTTAAAAATCAGGTATTATTTTCTCAGCTTTTTGGAAAGTTCCCTTGTGTTTTTGGCTTATAGTGTCTCAAAAACAGCTTGGCCTAAAAATACCCAGCATTTTATTGTATTTGTCTGCTTGAAGACAGGTGCCTCCATGTACTTTGAAAGAGTTTGCTTATTTAATAAACTAGGGTTCCTGAGGTTAAGAAATGCCAATTTTCAGCTGTTGTAAATATATCTATATAGGTTTGGAAGTATATTTATCTATATGACACAAAGCTGTCTCTTGAGCCCATTCCAGAAAGAGGGAATGGAAAAGAAATTCTGTATGTGTGTCCAAATGTTCCCTTGGGACTTCCTTTGATATCTCTGGCATCAATGCCATCTCTCTCTCAGGGCTTGCCTGACTCAAGGAATTGTGGTCTTTCTGAGGCCCAAGGCTGAAGGTTTGTACTGTCTTTTGTAGACACAGACCTTTACAGCTAGAAGACAGATGAGTCCTTAGGAAAAGATGAAAACTTCAAACATCCTGGCCAGATCTTCAGGTTTGAATCAATTTTTTTTTTTTGCAGGGAATTTTCATCTAGATTCCATAAGAGTTACATTGCCAAATGGAAGTGGTTTCAAAAGCCTGTTTATGGTAAAGGTCTTGACCTGGTTTCCTGTCCTTTCCCATTTATCATAGAGTTCTTACTGTCTCTGGTTTGGTCAAAGTGACCCTTAGAACTTCTCCCCTCTTTTTTAGAGTCCAGCTACAAATAGGGCTTCTGAATCTAGAGAGGAGTGGAGGGATGGTTAGAAGCAGCATGGTACTTACACTTTCTGTGTTTTGAATACTGGGATTGAAGTAACTGTGTATACCTCAAAAAGAAAAGGAGTACTTGTGGCACCTTAGAGACTAACCAATTTATTTGAGCATGAGCTTTCGTGAGCTACAGCTCACTTCATCAGATGTATACCTCCTGATTGCTACCTACTACAGTATAGTGATTCCATGGCTATGTGACTGCACACTTAAAGAGTATGGCAGCAAGGCACTTCTATGGAGGCATTACACTCCTAGAACAAGAGCTACTGTTGATAACACCTTTTGTATGGATTCAGGCACGGATGAGAAACTTGGAGTGTATGGCTGTGGTAATCTGCCATAGCTTTAACAGTGTAGTAAGATGTAGTAAGCAGATCCAGAAGACTGAGTGAGACTGATATTTCAGAAGGCCTGAGCACTGGCAGTTCCCAGTGACTCTGGTTGAAATCGTGGCTTCCTAACATCTCTGGGGAAAAGTCAGGCCCTATGTGGTTTAAGATGATTGCTTTTGTTGGTACCTGAACAACGAGAGCATTAAAGAGCAGAAAACGTATGTGTCAATTTATGACAGCAACAACTTCTATTGGTAACGTAGTAAAGGCTTTGTCTTTGTATTTGTTATGAACTGTAGTGCATCTATTATTTAACATCTACTCTTGCAATGACAATATGAATTAGTGTGTGTGGTTTGTGTATGGAGTTGTATGCCATAGAAATAACTTTTTTTTTTTTTTTTGGTGGAGGGGCGTTGATGGTGGAAATTGAGATATAGGAGCTAAAGTAAGATTGCTTGGATGTATTAAAACTTCTTTTAAGGTATTTCCCCCACCGCCTTGCAGTTAAGTTTTATATTTTCAAGTTTAATAGGCTTTTTAAAAATATAAAACAAAGCAGAATCTTTTCTTAATATTTATGTGGAAAGAGCACTGGCTTGAATAGCTGCATTCTTTCATAAGAGGCTTATATTTGTAAAAAAATTGATAGTCTCAGTATAAAACTTTTACAAGAGACACTAAAAGGAGAAGAGTCCAGAGAGAGATTTGTTTTCGCTGTGTGCACATACTAACATATGCTGTATATTTCTATATAGGTTTTTTAAAGCAAGAAGCAGACTCTAGTACTTTTACAGATTCTTGAAATGACTCATTGGCTGAAATGTTAGGACACAGAATTTTGTCAGATTATGATAGAATGTTTATATACAAAAGGGTAAATATTGTGAATATATTGTTTTGAGAGAGAGGTCCTTAATAACTTCTCTAATTGAATTTGATCATTTCTTTTTCTTTTTCACTTCATAGTCAAAATGTATAGTTTTTTTAAAATTTGAAGCTCAGGTAGTTTCACAACAGTCAGTGGACACTTCTCTGATGCAATACAGTTCTTGTTGGCAGTGTTTTCATTCACATACTTTCTCAGCAAATTTATACTTCGACTTAATTTTTAGGAAACGTTGACTGTTTTTTCATAACAGTTCCAAATATCCAGTATTATCTCAACAAAGCATGTTCTGACCTTAGATCTTTCATTCCTCTTACAATTGATTGACCAAGTTAACCTGCATACACCTAATTTTATCTGATCTGATTGCATTTGAGAACTTCAGTGATTTGTTTATATACACTGCTCCCTATTTTATTTTGTTTTGTGATGAATTTATATAATAAACACTGCCTGGTAGGATGCTACTTGAAATGAAATTTCAGGCTAAGAAATTTAAGAATGCATCTTCTTTTGTATAGACCTATTTAAGGAATCACAGATGTCCTATATGCCAGATATCACAATTTGAACAGATAACTGCTAAAAATACACAAACTGTCAACTGTGTCTTACTGCCAGAAACTGTCTCTAAGTAAATTAGTCTTGCATTTTTGTTACAGTGTAAAGATCCTCAATTTTCCCGGTAGAGTGATAGCAAATCCACAAAATACAACAAATAAATTGCCATGTTAAAATATACACTTGATTGGATCTAATTTTGTGTGGAATTGTTGGTACCATAATGTTGGTATCTGCTTATTAAAAATCAGCAAAAATAAAATAAGCATATTACCTGTCACCCTCAATCAAATGACTTGTATAAATATCTTAGCCCTCAATATCAACGTTTTAAAATAACTCATACCCTGTGCTTCCTGCATTAAGATCTCATAGCTGTAAGTAATGTTTTATTACCTGAGCTTGCAGAGAGTATTTAGTCTCTCTCTCTAGCAAATTAGCTGTGAAGGTAATATGATTTGAAATGAACCTTTTCAAAGCCAGGTCAAGTAGGTCCCTTTCCACATGGTTCAAGGTTAATTATATTTATCAAGAAGGAAGTAAAAAGGGGCAGTGAAGATGCTAACAGACTGGTGGCAACAACATAATGGGTGCGTCTCCAACATTTTACATTTCTCAAAGTTGCAGTTATTGATAAAATCAGAATGAGGGCTGTGTTTTATGATGGATTGTTTTTCATTGTTTTTATGCATAGGAAATTAGGGCAACAAATTAACATGTTTTTTTGGAGCTGCTAAAAGCAGTAACAAAGGAAACAGTGACAGATCTTATTCATTAGGAACTAGATCTCAAAAATGAAAAATGTGAAGCATAAAAGATATAAAAAATACATAGCAAAGCTCATGTTCATTTTGAACACTTTTTTGTTTATAAATATTCTTTATCAGTCACATCTGTATTTTACAGTGCAAGTTCAAGGAATATAGTAGGCAACTCTAGTTAAAAACAAAGACATTATTTAGGAATAATTTGGATAGGAGTATAGTGCAGACATCTAAAACGCCTACCTCTCAGTGGGTTCATCTGTATTGTCGTCTGTGATCATCTGCAACTCCTGTATATTTTTACTTGAATCTTCTTTGACACAATTTTCCTCTGTGCTTGCTTTGGGGATATCCTCATTTGCTCGCAGCTGTTCTATGAGGTTTTGTTGATGCCAGGTTTGAATAGATCGGTGGTGCACAGGGGTTGGACCTGGCACTGGTGCCAGTATATTGTGGTGAACTGGACTGTTGTTTTTCTTTAGCCCATTTCTGTCCCGAGAGTGGCTCTTCAACCTATTCTGAACCGGTGTCCCTCTATGCTCATATCCTTCCTGAAGGCAGCCTCCAGTGCCTGTGGAACCTTGAGAGGGGTGACTGAACCACCTCCAGCGTAGCCTTAGGATCTGTTTCACATCAAACTCTTTCTTTCCAGAAACTGACATTTTTGCAGGAAAAAAGAACAAAAGCCTATTCTTTTAGAAAGGAAATGGATTCTTTGTTATCTCTTGTGTTTCAGCGCCTCTTCTTAAGAAAAGACGACAAAGGAACAAATACCAGTAGCCCTCTTTTTTTCTGACAATATACTGCTAGCACTTCAAGCCGATGCTAAGCTGCTGTTAACTGTATAGGTGGGAATCCATACTGACAGGATGGTGAGGTCAGACCTTAAACAAGTAAATCAGCTTAGCACAGGAAAGCAGCTACCATAACACTACCCAGCTGCTAAGCTTACATACAGCACAGCACTCTCAGATATAACCTAGCCTCACATGATCCTGAGGGATCTTAGGCAGCAACTTAAGATGCAGAGAAGCACATACAAATAAAGTGGTAAGACCTTGTTTCCCATGAGGATTTGCATGTAGTCTGCTAATAAACAATACTGCATTTCACTACAAAATTATGAATGGTGAACTAATTATGTGGATTTTGCTAATGATTCACTCTGAAAGTATCCTGCAGCTCACATTTTCCTTAACAGGTCTACTACATTTGTTGCAGTAGACCTCACTTTACTATGTGAAATATCTATAAATAGTCTTAAGCGTTGAAGTGCTTACCTAAAAGAAAGTGAACATTCTTATTTAAAATACATTGTGCAGTAGTGTATGAAATATTGTCTTAACTAGGGATAGCATTTCTGGTGTATCATTATGACTAAGTGTGAGGACGAGAAAAGGAAGAGCTTACAAAAATTGGAGGAGAAACCCTCCCTAAATGATCATATCTGTGAAAAACACAATGCTTCCTGGCTAAGTGCCTGTGTAAACGCCCTCTTGCCCTCGTACACACTCTGTCAAAGGGTGGGATTTTTTTAAACCATTCTTTTGATAGTGTGCATCAAAACATGTTTTGAACAAAATTAATTATATTTTAGAGATTCATTATTAGATAAGCATTAAATGTTCAGAGCTGTGTGAAGTGTATATAAATATTAGATAGTAATATACATAACTTTGACACACAGAAACTGGTAGTATTAGAAAAAGACACTCAGTTTGTCTTACTTGGAGATATATCACGTGTAGTTGTCTGTGTACCATTCTTTAAGTACCATTTTAAATAACTGCTAGTAATAGTCAAACCTCAAAAGACTGCGGTTCAGTTTGGATAGGCCCTGAGAGGTGTGGGTACTGATCCAAACTTAATGCAGCACTTCCCCCATCCCCAATTTTTTTTTTTTGCTCTCTCTCCTCCAACTTACCTATATTGTTTTCCATTTTCCTAACATTTCTCTTTTCTTGATCTCCAAAATTCCACTGTTCAACAACACTCAGATTCTGAAATCCACTTTCCCTTTCCCATCCTTAGAGTCAGGGATAGTTCAAATCCAAGGATTATGGAGGGAGGACAAAGCAAAATGAATGAAGGATAGGACTGAAGAACAATCAGACTTTATTTATGTTTGGTCATGAGGTTTCGTTCCTACTCCCAGTACCCATGCCAAATCTAGATAGTATCATGGGTTGAAGCAGTGTGAAATTAACTGGGGACAGAGGGAAGAAAAAGTTTGAGGGAAGGGGGAGAAGTGAAATAATGAAAGAGAAGCACAAGAATGATTTACGTATATGAGGGAGGGGAAAGTAGTTATTTGCAGGTGTGGTGCTTCGGGGAATCTATCTGTCAACCTGTGAATTCTGGTTGGTATTGCAGAATTGTTAAGAAATGGCTTTATCATGGAATGCCTCTCTGTCTGTGTCATAAATATAAAGGGAAGGGTAAACCCCTTTGAAATCCCTCCTGGCCAGGGGAAAGCTCCTCTCACCTGTAAAGGGTTAAGAAGCTAAAGGTAACCTCGCTGGCACCTGACCAAAATGACCAATGAGAAGACAAGATACTTTCAAAAGCTGGGAGGAGGGAGAGAAACAAAGGGTCTGTGGGTCTGTCTATATGCTGGTTTCTGCCGGGGATAGACCAGGAATGGAGTCTTAGAACTTTTAGTAAGTAATCTAGCTAGGTATGTGTTAGATTATGATTTCTTTAAATGGCTGAGAAAAGAGTTGTGCTGAATAGAATAACTATTTCTGTCTGTGTATCTTTTTTGTAACTTAAGGTTTTGCCTAGAGGGGTTCTCTATGTTTTTGAATCTAATTACCCTGTAAGATATCTACCATCCTGATTTTACAGAGGGGATTTCTTTACTTCTATTTACTTCTATTTCTATTAAAAGTCTTCTTGTAAGAAAACTGAATGCTTTTTCATTGTTCTCAGATCCAAGGGTTTGGGTCTGTGGTCACCTATGCAAATTGGTGAGGCTTTTTATCCAACATTTCCCAGGAAAGAGGGGGTGCAAGTGTTGGGAGGATTGTTCATTGTTCTTAAGATCCAAGGGTCTGGGTCTGTAGTCACCTAGGCAAATTGGTAAGGCTTTTTACCAAACCTTGTCCAGGAAGTGGGGTGCAAGGTTTTGGGAAGTATTTTGGGGGGAAAGACGCGTCCAAACAGCTCTTCCCCAGTAACCAGTATTAGTTTGGTGGTGGTAGCGGCCAGTCCAAGGACAAAGGGTGGAATATTTTGTACCTTGGGGAAGTTTTGACCTAAGCTGGTAAAGATAAGCTTAGGAGGTTTTTCATGCAGGTCCCCACATCTGTACCCTAGAGTTCAGAGTGGGGGAGGAACCTTGACAGTCTGTATGTCTACCATTGCTGGCAAGGGTGTATTACATCCTTTCCAGATCAGGGACAATGGTATGTTGTTAAGTCTCAAAGACCACCTACTCAAATGGAAACACCTGAATTACAATGGACTGACTAGACCTGGGGACTTCCCCAAACTTGTCTGCAGGGAGCACAGAAGTGCCAAATTCCCAAACCAGACTGAGACAAAGAGGACAAAGCTGGAGTTTTAAAAGGACTCTGAGTGGGGACTGAGAGCCACACAGGAAGTTTTGTGCAGGAGAGGAGAAGGGGTGGACTGGCCAGGTCAGAGAAGATAAGCTGAGGAAAGAAAGTTCCTTGTTGTTCAAGTGATTACATATTTCCATTAGACTAGATGTGTGTGCCTTTTGTACTTCAGTGCTGAAGAGTTTTCTTAAGCAGTACCTCTAGGAGTGATGACACCTGTGCCTTGTTGCCCCCCTGATCCAAACTGAAGGTATAAAAGGACAGGTCCATTCTGCCTACTCTTCAGTTCCTGCTTACCATCCCTGGTCAGTGATGGTCACTGACCAGGGATGGTCATATACTGTCAATTGTTCCTCTGTGAATGTGCAGTTAATGTTTTGCCTTGTTAGTGGTACTCGTTAGGGGGTCCTCAAACCCTCTTTTCTTTCTTTTCCTTCTTTTTTTCTTTCTTTACCTATTTCCTCCCACTGTTTATAAATTGGGTAACTCAAGGCTCTGCCTGGTATGCAGGGAGCCTGTGCCTACATCCCCTGGCTTCAAACCTTGCTCTAGAGAGGCTTGTGAGGAATGGTCTCACTCCCTGAAGTTCTTGAGTGAGGATCATGACAGGGACAGGTGTCTGATTTGCCAAGGCTTCAAGACAAGAAACAAGAAGGTGAGAGAAGAACCACTCAGATACATTGTTATAGAGGCCTCCCTTCACCTTGGCATTGTCTTGTTACCACCTCAGCCAATTACAGGGAATTCCTCTCTGCCCAGAAGTGTTCCCCTGGCCTAACCAGAACAAAGAGCTCGGAGGAGATCCCCTTCACCGAGGCATTCTTCAAAGAGACATAATTGCTTAAAGCCCTCTCAGCCTCTAAAGCCAAAGAAAGGGACAGCTTCCATGTTGTCGAAATCTTTGGTGTGGGAATCCTCAGCTGCAGAGGCTAGCTATTTCAGTATCAAAGGAAGAGCACGCCCTTTAGCTTGGCGCTCTCCAGTACTGCTCCCTACTGGCTCAATCAAGCTATTGACTTTCTGATTCCTAAGTTGGTACCATCAAGGCTGGCTGTTTCCTTGGAGCCAGCAATGGAGCTGTTCCCATTGATCACAACAGGGCGACCATCCCAGAGGCCTATGCAGCAGCAAAAGATCTCCTGAGCCTCTCAGTACCCCCAGTGCTGATTAATCAGATCAACACTTTCTTCTCGGGGCTGTTGCATATGAGGCATATGTTGCCTTCCATGTCAATGTCCATTATGACACCAGTCGCTTCAGGTCCAGTATCAAATTCATCTATCATGATGTCAGCTCCAATACCAACAGAAACTGCTCTGCCTCAGCATGCAGTACTGATAGCCAGGAAGTCCCTTATGTTGCCACTGGTACTGCAGTCCAGTCATAGATCTTGGTCCTGATCTCTGATGATGCCACCCAGTATCACACCTCCCTGGCCTGTGGCGTACTCATACTCCACCTCAGAGTCTGAAATGGGTTTCTCAGCCTCCAACTACAGGGAATCCAGGGCATCTTCTAGAGATGGTGACTGCTCTTGTAGGAGCCATCAAGACAAGAGCAGATAGAGAGATTGGAGGGTCTGGTCTAGACATAGCTGGCCTCAAGTACTATAACAGCTCCATCACTGGCCCTCCATTGCACTGCAGAAACCAACCCCCAAGAAGGGAAGTCTTGCCATCTAATACCAATAGACGGTTGGAAGTTGGTACCAGGCACCTGCTACACTACAGAAATATATCCCCTTGGAGCAAAGTGTCCCAGTGTAATAGTGATAGGCTGCTTTACCCTTCTTGTGCAGCACCCAGGATTGGGCCTGCCTATTGTTGGTTTCAGACAGGCCTTCTATGTCTGGAGTTTTCAACCAGCCCCAGGAGGGTTCTAACCTGCCTCCTGTGGGAGCAGGTTGTCACATTTCCTAAATGTGTGGCAGTCCATCACCGCCAACAAGTGGGTGCTAAGCACAGTGGAATCAGGATATATCCTCCTATTCTCGTATTCCCCTCCTTACTCCCCACCTTCCCACTCCCTTTTCAGGGACCCATCTCACAAATCAGTTCTGAGGGCAGGCATGTTCTTTAGGAGCCATAGAATGAGGGCCTTCTCAGTGTCTGGACAAGGGGTTCTAGTCCCTATACTTCCTAATACACAAAGCAAAAGGAGTCTTAGGCCCATTCTGGACCTTCAGAACCTAACAAATACATCAAGAAGTTATAATTCTCCATGATCTTCTCTACAACTATTATCCCTTCATTAGATCCTGGAGACAGGTGTGCTGCCTTGACTTGAAGGATGTATATTTCCAAGTGCTATTCACCCTGGCCACAGAAAATGTTTAAGGTTCATAGTAGGAGGAGATGACTTACAGTTTACAGTTCCATGCTTTAGCCTATCATCTATACTGAAGG